CCTTTGTCTCCTCTGATCTTACTCCTTTATCAATCTACTACCACTGTGGGGTGGGGGCGTGGGGTTGTTAGGAGGCACTTTTCCCAGCTTGCCTTCCTCTTTACCTCCTCTTCAGCTCCAGAGCCATACCAGAATTCATCCTGGAATGCTAGCTAGCAGGAAAACCAACCACCCCTGAGAGCTCCCCCTTCACTGGGTTCTCCATTTGCTTGATCTTGATTGCTCACATAGCTTGGATTTATAACTGACACTATTCCTTCTCTGAGGTAGAGGATCGCCTGGCCTTACCATCTTCCCTGCCACTGCCTCCTTCTAAAGTTTTCCAGTCTTCTTCTCCCAATGGTTTCCCCAAAATTGTCCTCTGATCTCAAAAACAAATCTTGGATCCCCATTACTGCACCCTTAGGACTTCTGAGCCTCACTATCAGTCCTACAACTTTCTTTTTGTCTCCCCACGTTAGAATATAACCTGCTTGAGAACAAGGACTATCTTGCCTTTTCTGTTTGTATACCCAATACTTAACATACTTACTAGATATGGTACATAGCAAATACTCGATAAATGCTTTTTCACTAATTTTATCCATTCATCTCTTGAAAGAATTACATGAGAATTTTCTATGCAGTTCAACCAACATGGGAGATGGTCTGCATGAGTGCACTATGAATGATTTTAGTAAACAGCTAATTAACCAGCTTGACATGAACATTTATAATTTAAAATGTGGTTAAGAAAGGAGAGTTGGGCCCGTCGTGGAGGACCGTAAATCTCAGGCTTAAGACGTTAATATTTTATCCTCTAGTTGGTAGGGAACTACTAGAGTTTGGGTTTTTTTTAAGATGGAGCAATATGGCCTTGTCGTAGCAAAAAAGACTATTTTTATCAGCCACAGGAACTAGAACAGAACCACCAAGAAATAGTTATACCACCCAGGTTACAGGGTTAAACTGAAATTCTATCCAGTTCCTCTTTCTGAACCATCGTAGGGAGATTCTAGGCTTGTCCCCATCCCCTCAGACTAGAGAAAGATTCAATCAGGTTTACCTCCTACAGGAAGAGTGTCTTGGCATCCTCCGTAGGGAAAGACAGACAGGGTACCCAATACTATGGCAATTCCTCCATGCCCAACCACCTCCACCCTGCCTTTTCTGCTGATGGCTCTGCTCCTGGGCATCTCTGGTGAGTGAGCATCCTGTTCTCCTTGCTGTGTCCCAGCCAGGATGGAGACAGGAGGGTTTGGGGATGAGAATTCTATAGGTCTCTAGCTTGCTTGGATGGACATTTCAGGATAAAATGATCAAGGGCAAGGCTCATTCCCAATCATAGAAAGCCAGTTTTCCTGGACTAGAAACCATTTGAATCAATGCTGTGATGAGGTACCCCTATTGTTTGTCCTTCCTAGACTTTCTGTGGAAAAGATGACAATCTTAGAATATTCTGTGCAAACTGAAGATCCAGGATCCTAGTCCAGGTCTCTTTCTATGCCTTATTATCTTTCTGTAGCTTTAATTTACACAGTCAAAAAGGCCTAGGTTCTAGTCCAGCTCTGTCACTAACTTTCTGTGTGACAAATGAAACACCTCCCTTCTCTAGCTCTGTTTCCTCATCTGCAAAAAGGGGATGGGGAGATGGACTAGATAATAATGAATAATAAAATAATCATACATTTCTATTGTATTTTATAATATGTCTTCTCACAACAGCACTATGAGACTGTAGGTAATACACTTATTTTTATCCCCATTTTACAGTTCTAGAAACAAAGTCTCAAGGAAGGTTAAATTATTTGGGTGAGGTCATATAACTACCATGTACTAGCACTTAACCCTGGACCAGGTGCTTTGATTTCAGTGATCTCTAAGGTCCTTGCTGATTCCATTAAATTCAAGAAGCAACTATATAGTGCTTACTACAAGCAAGGACCTTGGTGCTGGCTACACAAAAATAAAAAACATGGTTTTGGCTTTGAAGAGACATACCCTTTTCCTGAATCTCTCAGCCTTAAGTCCTCACTCCAAATAATATCTCCTCTCTTTAAACTAATTCTCTGTTCCTTCTCACTTCTCAGCTGGTGATCTCTCTTTTCTTTTCTAACATTTTCTACTTGTCTCCTCCCTCCTCCCTTGACTCCTGGGTTCCATATCTCTTGGCTGGACCCTGGTGACCCCAGTCTAAGCCCCTTTTAGCTTTCAATCCCCATGGCATCATTTCTCTATCCCTTAACTTTAGTGAATCAGCCTTCAGTAGACACTATGTGGGAGTAAAAGTCTGACCACAATAAAGGGAAGAACTACTATTAGACCTATGCAGACACCATATTCCTGGAACACAGAGTCTAAGAAAATGTTAACTCCTTCAGTGCCAATGGTTGAACTGATATCCTATCCAGTTTCTCTTTCAGTAGCAAGGTCACTCCAGCTCAGCCCCTCCCCCTGATACCCCTACAAAGCACTGATCCACCTTAAGGCTCTAAGCCTCCCTTGTCATTTCTGTCCAGGGTCCTCCTGATAAGCAGCTAGTCACAGATCAGAAACTCAAGGATGAGAAATGAACTGAGGTCTTGGAAAAGCCCTCTACTTCCTCCCCAATCTCTCTGAACCTTAGTTTTTCTGTCTATGAAAAAAGAAAATATTCAGCCCAGCTACCTAGAAGGTCAAGGCCCTCATTGGCTTCAACTAAGAACCCCAGTGATGTATTCCTTGTTTGTTTTCTCAGGAGCCTTCCCTGGGAAATTACTGGGATAATGTATAAAAGCATCAAAAGGTATCTCCAGACCCCTCCACAGGAGTTGGGTATCTGCCCCAATATACTTTCTGTTCAGTTGTCTTGAATACAACAAAGTTTCCTTACTTTAGATATGAGGAGTTAGTAGGACAAATACACTATAAACAGTAACTATTTTAGGGGCACAGAATAGCTTTAGAACAACTAGAGAAGGACCAACCTTATAAAGTCATATCCAATTCTCCATGACCCCTTTTTGGGGTTTTCTTGGTAAAGATACTGGAGTGGTTTGCCACTTCCTTCTCTAGCTCATTTTACAGATGGGGAACTGAGGCAAACAGGGTTAAATGACTTGCCCAAAGTCACACAGCTACTAAGTGTCTGAGGCTGGATTTGAACTCATAAAGATGAGTTTTCCTGATTCCAAGCCCAGTGCTCTATCCACTGCAACACCTAGCTGCCCATAAAATAGAGTGCAGTATGTCAAAATGGAGGAGAATTTGGCCCAAAGAGTATAACATGTCAGAGATAGAAGGGACCATAAATATCTTGTTCAACCCTCTCGTTTTACATATAAAGAAACTGAGGCCCAAAGGAGGGGAAGTGACTTGCTCAGGCTTCATACAGATAGTAAGAAGGATTCAAACCATGGTACTCTAAATACAAATCTTGTGTTATTTCCTTTCTCAGACTTGTTCAACTCAGATGTTTCCCTAAAGATTCTTCAGTCCTGGGTGCCTCTATCTGGTTAGATATACAAGGCTAACTTCTTCCTAGCACAGGTCCTTCCTTCTTTCCCCCAATGGGCAGGTTATAGATAAACAGAAGGGACAAGGAAAAATATCCTACAAAGAAGGCATCAGCCTGGGGGGATATTCAGAATGAGGAAAAAAAGACACATGAGGAAAGGAGGAAGGGAGGAAGAAAAGGGGAGGTAGGAAGATGAAGTTGGGTAGAGAATGGATGAATGAGTGAGAAGGCATTTATTAAATGCTTTTATTGTAGTTGTTTAGTCATTTTTCAGATATGTCCGACTTCATGACACCTTTTTGGGATTTTCTTGGGTGGAGTCAAGATGACATAAAAAAGGTGGGAACTTGCCTGAGATCTTCCAAAATCCCCTCCAAACAACTTAAAAAAAAAACCTCAAAATGAATTCTGGAGCAACAGGATGGGTGTTTTCTCGTCAAAGATACTGGAGCGGTTTGCCATTTCCTTTTCCAATTTGTTTTACAGATGAAACTGAGGCAAATAGGGTTAAGAGAATTTGCCCAGGGTAACACAGCTAGCAAGTGTCTGAAGCTGAAATTTGAATTCAGGTCTTCTTGACTCCAAGCCTGGTACTCCATCCACTGCATCACCTAGATGACTCCATTAAATGCTTACTATGTGCCAAATGCTATACTGAGAACTGTGGATAGAAAGAGGAGAAAAAAGACAATCCCTGCTCACAAGGACCTCACTCTAATTGGAGACAAAGTATATAAAGTTCAACATCAAAGTCAAACAGAAAAGGCAGGATAAGGGTGAAGCTTTGGGGTGGATGGAAGAGCCCAGGGGTCCCTAAGTTACATAACAAAGTTGGATGATGGTGCCAGAGGACCCCAGAGTATAGAGGCAGTGAAGATAGTAAGTCCTAGAGGACCTTAGGAAGCAGTGACAAAGGAAGTGGCAAGGCCTAGCAGTTCTCAATATTATTGGAAGGAATAGAGTTATTGACTCCCATTTCATCAAAGGCCTGTGAGCAGTCAAATCTCCCAGGTGATGGGGGAATACAAGGGAGGGGGGCCCTGCAGTGATGTCATCTTCCTGTCACCTGAGTCATGGATGAGGAAATTCACCTGGCTGGAGTAGAGGGTATTGGGAGGAAAGGGAAAGTTAAAACCAAGTCCTTTCCCTTTTCTGTACTTTAGGCCTTGGTTTCCTCATCTATAAATGAAAGATGTACTAGATGATCTCTAAGATACCTTCTATCTTTGACATTCTATATTGTGAAATCCCTTCCAGCTCAGACATCTTGTGTTTTAACATCTCTTCCACCTCTGACATTCTGGGGTTCTAGGAATCCATCTCTTCTTCTTAAAAAGAGTCTCTCTTTGCAGCCAACCTCTCCCCTAGCTTGGTGGCAGGACAACTGATGACTTTCACCTGCACTTCTTTGGGATACTACAGTCAACAAGACATCACTATTACATGGTTCAAAGATGGGAAGATGTCCCATCCCCTGCAGAAATTATTTAGCAGCACCCAGAACAACAGCTTCCACAATATCACCAGAGTGGTACAGGTGCCATTCACCAAGCCCAATGTCCAGTCTCAAGTGAGCTGTGAGGTAAAGCCCAGATTATCCACACGGTTGCAGACCTTGAAGCCTCAGAGGGATGCAACGAACAATTCCCCATCAAGCAGAGGTAAGCATGCCTTGCTCAGCTCCAGAGAGAGCTCAAGGCATCAACCCAGCTTGTCATTCCTTTCTCCTCTATGATAGCCCTAGATGAGGCTAAAATCTGACTTCTCCTTGCCATGACCATGCCAGACCCTGAGTCAAGTCAACAATCATTTACTAAGCACTTATTATGTATTAGGCACTCTTCTAAGTGCCAGAACTACAAAGAAAAGCAAAAATATGTTTCTCACCCTCAAGGAGCTCACAATCTAATGGGTAAGGCAACATGCAAACAACTCTGTGTAAACAACTCTGTGCAAACTATATATATATATATATATATATAGTTATCAATTTATCATATAGTTATATATATGGTTTATATATATATGTATATATATATGATAAATTGAAGAAAATAACAGATGGAAGTCACTAGCATTAAGGAGACCAATAAAGGCTTCTTACAGAAGGTGGGATTTTAGCTGAAAGAAGGAAGCCAGGGAAGTCAGGAGGTAGAAGTGAGAAAGGAGAGAATTTCAGGCATAAGGGAAAGCCAATAGAAATACAAAGAGTAGGGAGATAGAATGTCAAGTTCAAGGAAGAGCAAGGAGGCCAGTGTTACTGGGTCATAGAGTACATAGGATTTAAAAAGACTAGAGAGGTAGAAGGGAGACAGGTTATAAAAGGCTTTAAAAGTCAGAGCATTTTATTTTTGATCCTAGAGGTTATAGGGAGCCATTAGAGGTTTTTATTAGGTGAGTGGCATGGTCAGACCTGCACTTTAGGAGGAACACTTGGATAGCTAAGTGGAGAATGGATTGGAATGGAAAAAGACTTATGGCAGGCTGATCAGCCAGCAAGCTATTGCAATAGCCCAGGTGTGAGGTGATGAGGGCCCGCATCAGGGTGGTGGCAGTTTCAGAGGAGAGAAACAGGGCTTATATGAGAGATTTTGCAAAAATAGAACCGACAGGACTTGGCAAGTAAAAGAGAATGAGGAGGAGAGGATGACACTTGGGTTGTCCATGGGTGACTACGTAGTTGGTGGTGTCTCTACCAGGAATAGGGAAGTTAGAAAGAAAAGAGGATTTGGGAAGAAAAATAATGAGTTCCATTTAGGACATGTTGACGCCTACACTTTGAGATATGAGACGGTTAGAGACATGAGGCTGGAGGTCAGAAGACTGAGTAGGATTGGATAACTAGATCTAAGAATCATCTACGTAAAGATGATAATTGAATCCATGGGAGCTGGTGAGATCACCAAACAAAACAGTATAGAAGGAGAAGAGAAGAGGGCCCAGGAAAGAGCCTTGGGGAACATGAAAAACAGCCATCACAACCTGGATCGAGAACCCGCAAAGGGGCTTTGTTGAGAGACTGAGAACTAGTAGTCAGACAGGTAAAAGGAAAACCAAGATAACATGAAAATCTAGAGACAAAAGAGTATCAAGGAGAAGAGGGTGATTAACAGTATTAAAGGATACAGAGAAGTCAAGAAGGATGAGAATTGAGGGGGGAAAAAAGACATTAGATTTGGCACTTCAAAGATTATGGGTAACCCTAGAGAGAACAGTTGCATTTGAATAATGAGATTGGAAGCCAGACTGTGGAGAGTCAAGAAGAGTGAGAGGAGAGGAACTGGAAGCACTGATTCTCAGTGACCTTCTCAAGGAATTTAGCCATGACCTAGGATGATAGCCAGCAAGGATGGATGGATCAAAGAAGAAGACTGAGGAGATGAGGGTGCTTGTGGGCAGCAAGGAACCAGTCTGTAAGTCTATAGCAGTGAGAAATTGAAGGTAGATGAGAGAGTGGGGATGATAGAGGGAGCAATCTGCTGGAGAAGAGAGGATAGAATGGGATCATTTGTACATGTAGAGGGGTTTGCCTTGACAAGAATAGCCACCTTTTCATGGGAGACAGGGGCGTAGGAGGAGAGTGGCAGAAGGCATCTGAGTGATGTGAGATATGGAAGAGGGGAGAAGAGGAAGCTCTCGGCAAATGGCTTCAATTTCTTCAATGAGATATGAGGCAAAGTTCTCAGCTGAAAGGGGAGGGGAGAGAGAGCCATGGAGATTTGAAGAGGGATGATAAGGTTTGGAAAAGCCATTGTGGAGAGTAGGACAGTCAGTTAGAGAAGTGTACAATGATTGTCTTGCCATAGTGAGGGCCCAGTTGAAATTCTGTAACATAAAATTGTAGTGCTTCAGTGACAATCCCCCTCCCAGACCATTTTAATCCCAAATCTGCAATTATGTGAACCTAAGTCACTTCCCCTCCTGGAGCCTCAGTTTCCCCATCTGTAAAATAGGGATCAAAACATTCAACTCTGAACCTCACAAGGCAGCTACAAGGATCAGATGAACCAATGTGTGCAAAGTGCTTTAAAGTTCAACATGCTATAGAAATGTGACTTAAAATTATTAAGGAAGGAATTGGTTTACAATTTAAAAACAAAAATTGTACCATGCTTTCTAGTGACTGTTTAGAAAGCTTGTAGGTTCTAGCCTGGCGTCCAAGGAACATTAGTCACCATTGACAGTTTACTATATCTGTCTTGATGCTAAGCCCAATATAATTTTCACAATACCATGTAGTGTCTCATAAGAGCCAGAGGGGACCTTAGAAATCATCTGGTCCACTCCCCATCATTTGACAGATAGTCCATTGTTAACCACTATTAACTGAGTACTTACCCAGAAGACCTTTCAGGTTTGACTTCCTCCTGGGGCCCTACACACATTCCCTGGCCCTGTTTAGTGTCTTAGGTCCTCAGGAAGAGAACGACTCCTTTGGATGACTCCACCGGCCTTTAGCACTAGGACTCCAATGAAAATCCCTTAAGCTCTATGAGCCTCAGTTTTCTCATTTTAAAAGGGAAAATACTATTTTCACTACTTATCTGCCTTTCAGAATTGTCACAAGGAAAGTCCTTTATTAACCATAAAGTGCTGAAGAATTGTGAGTTAACAACAATATTAATTAATACAGCTGAGTGGGGTCTCAGGCCCCTTTCCAATGCCCCTCAAGTAATATGCCATGGAAAAGCACAGGGTTGTGTGAAGCCAGCTCATACTGAATTGTTAAATTTTTAGTGTGAGCTTTTATGCCTCAGAAATCAGCCAACATGACAAAATGAGGCCTTGATTTATTGTTTTGTTGATTGTCTGTACTTAAGAAAGTGATGGAGAATGTTAGTAGCACAGATTAAACTTCAAAGTGTATGTTGTATATACATTTTTTTCAGAAAGCTGATTGTTAAACATTGACCAGCACACCACTAGCCCAGCCCCACTGGTTACAGAGTATAGCCGAGACTTCTGGGGTCAGTAAGTACAATGGGAAAAAATGGGTATTAGAATTGAGACCATGGTTTAAATGCTGGTTGTTACTTATTACCAGTGTAATCTTGCACATCTCATATCTCCAGTTTGGGCTAATTTGTAAAACAAGAATGTTGGACTATATGATTTCTATGGCCATTTCTAATTCTAAATCCTATGAAATCTCCAAGTGATATATAAAGAAGTGGTAAGAACTATATGTGGGTTCATTCATTCATTGTTGTCCTTCACAATCAAAGAGAACCAAAATGACAACACGATGTCGGGGTCAATGTATAGTGTGTCTGACTGTGACTGATCAAACCAGTATAATCTCCAAAGGTCACAGGTCAGGCACAAATAGTCCATATGAACATTTGTAGTGGAAATGTCCCTAAATCTGCTCATCTCGCTTTTCTTTTGAGCTACTGCAGTTCTGTTTTGCTCATAGAGCACAATGCCTTCTTTGATGCAGGTACACGATGCTAGGCAGTCCTGTGCCAGTGTATGGGGGTAAGACTATACTGGGGGGCATTAAAAACCTCATAGGAACTGCTAGGGATGGAAACATAATGTCAGAGAGAGAACATCGGACTTGAAGTAAAAAAACAAGGGCTTGAGTACTGACTCTGACCTGCAGAATACTAAATTTAGAGCTGCAGGAGACCTTAGAGGGTAAAGGGACCAACCCCTTCATTTTACAGATTAGGAAATTGAGGTACCAAGATATTAAGTGACTTGACCAGAGTCACAAAGGCATTAAGGACCTGAAGAAGGATTTGAACCAGGGTCTTCCTGACTCCAAGTCAGGTCTTCCTCTGTAACCCTGACCAAGTTATTTCCCCCCTCCGAGTTTCAGTTTTCCCATCTGTAAATTGAGGATAGTAATCCTTATGCTACCTACTTCAGAGGATTGCTTTAAGGAAAGCTTCATTTTGCTGTAAAAATGTGAGCTATGTATAGAGAGACAAATTTCAGCTCAATATGAGAAAAAAACTCCTAATAATAAGAGCAATCCTAGAATGGAATAGGCTGTCTCTGAAGGTAGGAATTAAGCCCGAAAGCCTTTAAGCAGAGGCTAGAAGGTCACTTGTCGGGATGTTATAGATTTCTCCTGATCTTGTACAGGTGGATTGCACTGATTGGCTTCTGAGGCTCCTTCCAGCCCTGTGAGGTGACAATTCTGTGATTCTGGAATCTCTCACTAGGTCCACTGACTATGGCTGCCCCAAAACCTTTCCTGGCTGAGAAAACTCAACCATACAATCTCCTCTTGACCGTAGTCTTTCTGGGATGGAAGATCCTGCTTCTGGTGGCCCTTTCTGCCCACTGCATCTTCAGGAGAAGCCTGCTGTGACTGGTGAGAAGAGGCAGGAGCTTTTGGAAAGGATGACCTTTGTGATGAAACAGGACAGAGGAGGACTTTGGCCTCAACCTTGGAACGTTTTACACACACACACACACACACACACACACACACACACACACACACCACTTCTGCCATTAGAAGCAAAGAGAGTCTGGACACATCCTCCCTAGCCATCATCCAACCAAAATAAAATAAGCAAATAAACTACTGTGGATAATTTCTGACTGTTATGCATTACCAAGTTAAGTTATCATTTCCCTCTCCTTTCTTCCCCACTCCTATTCAATTTCTAATTCAGCTATGAGGAGTTAACAATTTCCCAACCAGAACGATGTTCTTTTCCTTGGGATGAATGATATCTTATCACCTGGGGCTTCCTTCAAGTTCCAGCAAAAATCTCACTTTGTACAGGAAGCCTTTTCCAATCCCACTTCATTCTGGTGTTTTCCTTCTGTTGATTACTTCCTGTTTATCCTGTATATAATTTGGAGAGTTGCACGTCATCTCCCCCATTAGATTCTGAGCTCCTTGCAGATAGGGACTTTTTGCCTTTCTTTGTAACTCCACGGTTCAGCATGGTGCCTGACATATAGCAGGCCTTTTATAAGTGTTTGTTGATTGATTATGTGACTAACTTAGGGAGCCAGAGAGGCATTAATTTTCTGTACTAGAACCAATCATTTATCAGACATTTATTAAGTACTTGCAATGTGCTGGACACTGTGCTAACCTCTGAAAATATAAAGAAAACCAGGGGGGAAAAACAGTTCCCTCCCTGAAATTCACATTCTAATATAGAGATAGCATATATGCATATGTATGTGTTTATATATACTTGCATACAAAATACATACAGGTTAGATGGAAGGGAACTTTGAACAAAGGACACAATGCTAGAACTGTAAGAGACATTCAAACATAAAAAGTCAGAGACAACAGAACATAAAACATAGGATGTTAAAACTGTCCTTCCTCTTTCCAAAGTATATCTGTACTGGAAAGGGTATGATCCATGGGATGCAGTCTACCCAAAGCCCATTGAAAGGTTGGTCTGATTATATCCATTACATGGAATATGTAAATATGTAGCTAGAATGTAGGTGGTACCTCACTAGACAAAAATAAGCTTTCCAGAACAGTTTTATGCAAACAGATTTTTCACAATTTGGTAACTTTAAATGGAGTAGGGGGAGATTGCCCCTTAAAGGAATATATAATGAATTGTTTTATAAATTAAAAAAGTTTTTTTCAAAGTGAAAAATTAAATAAAATACATTGTTGATAATATACAAAGATACTAGCAATGCTACATTCTAACTCCATGAATATTGCAATTAAAATTAAAATGTTAAATGTACATGAAGGCCAAAAAAAAGGAATAACATAGATAGAAAGACGTAAGAGTATGCAGGAGAGGAGTGTGAATACCCCAGTCTCATGAAATTCCAGAGTATATTCACTCTCAAACCTAAAGTGGTCATATTCATAATTTGTAAGAATGTAGGGCAAAAAAGTCCTTTGACATTAAGACACAGTCTCTGTCTTCAAGGGGCTTACAGTGTAATTAGGCGATATCAATGTACACAATTGTGACAAAGGAGACAAGTCCACAGATCCAGCTGAACCCTCTTCTTCAAACCCTCATCTCCCAAAGGGCTCATATAGTGATCATAGACTTGGACCTTAAAAGGCCCTTGGAAGCCATCTAGTCCAATCACATTATTTTATAGATGAAGAAATGGAGATGTAGAGAGATTAAGTGACTTCCCCAGGGTCATACAACTAGCAAATGTCAAAGATAGGGATTTGAACCCAGGTCTTCTTGACTTGAAGTTCTGGGGTAAGTGATGCCTCATGAAAAGTAGCCTTCAAACTACCCAGTCTTGTTATTTGACAACTCATCTCAGCCATGGCCCATGCTCAAAGCTCTACCATCAGGGTATCTTCAGTTCTAGTTTTCCCATTTACTGTCGTTTCTCAGTCTAGCTATATCCCTCTCTACTTTTTCTTGTCCTTAGCTAGACCTCCAGGAAAAATAATAGCTAGATGTGTGGTGCAACCACAGGCAGCGCTGGCCCAGATTCCATATCTCACATCAAACCAGAGCTGTCACATGTGTAGTGGAATTCCCACTCAGGCGCAAAAGAAACATAGGTTCCAAAACAGCTTCAATAAAGGCCAAGACTGATCAAGGGGCCCCATGTCTACAAGTATATAACAAGGGACCCATCTCTCCACCTTGAGGAGCCAACCCAAGACACTTTTCTATGCGGGTTATTTAAAATAAAAACCCTCCAACCTATTGGAGGATCGTTACAGAGCTAGGCTTTTGAAAGAAAACAAGAGGGAAGCTCTTTTCCAGCAGCATGAAATTGCCAAGCTACCTTACTCTGTACGTGAGTCTGTGTGGTTTTTTAAAATATATTTTATTTTTATTTTATTCCATAAATCAATTTATGGAATAAAACAAACATTTCCATAACATAGTGTAAAAACAATAATTGCACATGAAACTGCAAATCTACTATGCACAACTTGCTATTCCTTTCAAATATACAACAAAATTATCATGTAAATTTCTTTTTTTTCCTTTTTTTCTTCCCTTCGCCCCCACCCTAGAGATGGCTACCATTAGACACAAATAGGTACACACACACACACACACACACACACACACACATACATATATATGATATATGGAAAATTATTCTATACATACTTCTATTTATCAGTTCTTTCTCTGGATACAGATAGCATCCTTCATGTGTCCTTTATAGTTAATTTGGGTACTTAGACAAAATAACTTATTCACACAAAGTCATTCTTAAAACAATATTACTGCTATTGTATACAATGTTCTCTTGGTTCTCATTTCATTCTTCATTATTTTATGCATCTTTCCATGTTTTTCTAAAATTGAGCTCATAGTTTCCTATACCATGGTAGTGTTCCATCACAATCATATACCACAACTTACTCGGCCATTCCCCAATTGATGGATATCCCTGCAATTTCCAGTTTTTTGCCATTACAAAGAGAGCTGCTATAAACATTTTAGAACATATAGATTCTTTTCCATTTTCCTTAATCATCTTAGGAAACAGACCAAATAATGGCATCACTTGGGTCAAAGAGTATAGGTAGTTTAATAACTCATTAGGCATAATTCCAGATTGCTCTCCAAAATGGTTGAATCAGTTCACAGTTCCACCAACAATGAATTAATGTCCTAGTTTTTCCATATCCTCTCCAACATTTGTTACTTTCTCCTTCTATCCTTTTAGCAAATCTGGTAGGTGTAAAATAATATCTCAAGGTAGTTTTAACCTGCATATCTCTAATCAATAATGATTTAGAGCATTTTTTTCATATAACTATAAATTGTTTTGATTTCTTCATTGAAAGACTGCCTGTTCATATCCTTTGACCATTTATCAGTTAGTGAATGACTCATATTCTTATAGATTTGATAAAGTTCTTTATATATTTTAGATATGAGACCTTTTTCTGATAAACTGTCTATAAAAATTTTTCCCAATTTTGTTTTCCTTCTGATCTTGGCTATGTTAGTTTTATTTGCACAAAAGCTTTTTAATTTAATGTAATCAAAATTACATACGTAATAACAAAAAGTCAAGAATATCAAAGGAAATAATGGAAAAAAAAGTGTAAAGGAAGGAGGTTTAGCAATACCAGTTCTTAAACTGTATTATAATGTGGCAATTATCAAAACTGTCCGGTACTGGCTAAGAAATAAAAAGGTAGATCAATGGAATAGAGTAAACATACAATTTACAACAGCAAATAAACATCATTACCTTATATTTGAAGAGTGTAAAGACTTCAGACAGGGCAGCTAGGTGGCACAGTGGATAAAGGACCAGCCCTGGAGTCAGTAGGACCTGAATTCAAACACAGCCTCAGATACTTGATACTTACTAGCTATGTGACCCTGGACAAGTCACTTAAACCCATTGCTTAGCAAAGAAAACAAACAAAAATAAAAAACAAAAAAAGGACTTCAGATTTTGGGATAAGAATTCATTATTTGATTAAAAGTTCTTGGAAAAACTGGAAAGTATGGCAGAAACTGGGCATGGACCAATATCTCACACCATTTACCAAGATAAGGTCAAAATGGGATACACAACCTAGATATAAAGAAAGAATTTACAAAAAAATTAGAAGGATATAGAACATATTACTTATCAGACTTACATATAGGTGAACAATTTATGAATAAACAATAAAGAGACAAAGCAAAGTTAGGTAGATGTAAAATGTATGTTTCTTCCTGAGCCTGAAAGAAGGGATGAATGAATAAATAAAGGAGTGGAAATTAATGAATACTAAAGAATTTATTAAGCACCTGCTATGTGTCAGATACTGTGTGCTAGGTGCTAGAGATGTAAATACAAGAGTGAAACAGTCCCAGCCCTCAAGGAGCTTACATTCTAATACAGGCGACAACACAGAATAGTAGCCAGAGAAAGGAGTTTTGGTCTGGGAGGTCATGGGGATAGTGAGTAGAATCATAGCACAGTCCATTGTCATGCCAGAAACAATAGTGGAATTGATTATGGATCCCAGAGAAAGGGGGAGAAGGGTGGAAGGAAGAGCCCATCAAGGAGTCCAAGGTGGGTGGATTCAAATCTTTGGGAGACAAAGGTCCCTCATACCAATCTGAGACTTTGTCTATGTGTCTCAGTGGGGATGGAAGGACTCATAGTCAGTCTCTGGCTTATCAGGCAGCAAATAAAAGCTAGCTTTAACCCGGTCGACTGCTTCCCATCAGTGTGTTCTGAGGTTCCCCAGTGCCCAAAAGCAATAGAATAATGAGGGCAGATGCCATCCCTTCAGAGTCCTGCTGACTCAGCTGCCTTCTTTCAGTCTCTGCGGTGAAGTTGGCCAGGTTAACCTCTCACCTCCTAAACACTGACAGTATAAAGCAATGCCTGGGAAAGGTGCCAGGAGTCCACTGCGGGTAGCCAGCGGGTAAAGAGGCAAAGAGATACAGTGAAAAGCTATAGTCTTGGAGTCCAGAGACCTAGGGTTCAAGTCCAGGCATCTATACTTA